GAGTGACTTCCATCAATTACTACTCTCTGGGTCCGACCCCGGAGCCAATTTTCCAGCCAGTGGATTGTGGAGGACCCAAGGCGACAATTGGCCAGTTTCTCCAAGAGGCGATCATGGGACACCAGATCGAAGGCTTTTTTGAAGTCAAGATATATGACATCAATCTCTTCTCCCTTGTCCAGGTGATAGGTCACCTGGTCGTAGAAGGAAATGAGATTGGTCAAGCAAGACCTACCCGCAACAAACCCGTGCTGGCTATCCCTTAAGATGTTGACGTCGGCCAGTCCATTAAGGATGGCCTCTTTAATAAACTTTTCTAAGATCTTCCCCGGGATAGAAGTCAGGCTGATGGGCCTATAGTTAGCCGGATCCACTTTCCTCCCTTTCTTGAAGATAGGCACCACGTTGGCCTTCTTCCAGTCTTCGGGCACTACACCAGAGCGCCAAGAGTTTTCAAAGATCCGTGCTAGAGGCTGGGCTATGATGCTCGCCAGCTCCTTGAGTACCCTGGGGTGAAGATTGTCAGGGCCGGCTGACTTGAAGGTATCCAGCTTCTCAAGATGTTCCTTCAGAAAATCAGCATTAATACCCGGACTTCCCAGCCCTGTAGCGGGCATGGGCGTCCCATGGGACTGATGAAAGACCAACGCAAAGTACCTATTTAATAGGTTGGCTTTTTCCAACAGCAACCATGGGGGGGTGGGCCTCACAGCCGATCCCACAGACCAGGGTGGGGGTCCCCCTGCAGCTGATCCTACTGACCAGCACTTCCGGGTGAAGTTGTATCTCTTTGGGTTGTCATTTTCTGTGGCCCCACCTGTTTTGACAGAGATGAACTGGCGCTGGTACTTCTGGGTGAGCGCAATTGGCCATGGGGGGATCGCGTCTCCTGGCACCCCCACTCCCCAGCTGGTGCTCTCTGGGGGGTCACTAGTGCTCTTGCCTGCCACCCCTGCCTGGCAACACTGGCTAATAGGAAGTGCACCAGCACTCTCAGGAGGTGCACGTGCACCCCTGTGCACCCCCTACATGTCACCACTGATCTCCCCTCACTTCACCCATCCCTCAGACCTCCCCCTATAGACCCCATCCTTTCCCACTTTTTGACCTTAGTTCCTAGTGCCCTTTGTAACCCACCCCTCATCTCCCCACCCCAAATCTTACCTGGGAGGCCTTAAAACGGTTATTAAGGATCTCACCCCTTTCCTGCATGGCTGCCATTGGGCTACCCTGAGGAGCTAGAGAAAACACACCCTAAGACCTTGGATGCTCTCCTCTAACTGAAGTGCTCTGTGTTCCTTCCGTCTCCATGGCTACCGGAGCCCCATTGTGAGCTAATCCTTGGGTGGGTGAGAGGCCTGTAATAGGAACAGAGGGGGAGAGGGAGGAGATATTCAGGGGAACCAACAGCAAGGAGCTGCTACAGATGGCAGATGGGCTTGATAGTTAATGTTCTGTCTGACCCAGAAAAAGGAAGGTTGGGTGGCCTCAAAACCATTTCCTGGCTGACCCCTTCCTGAGTGACGGGTTTCTGCCAGGAGGAGGTGCTGGTTCCACAGCCCCAGGACCTTTGCAGATGCAGTGCCTGAAAGCACCATGGCATCAGCTTTCACTCACTGAGGAGCAAAGGCTTGTGCTGATCATAATAACAAGCTTAATAAACTTTCAGGAGAAAGAGGGAGTCAGTGGCAAAAATACCTCTCATTTCAACAGGAGTATGTTCAGGACCACACATTTAAATCTTAACATTATTAATTTTTTTTCATGATATATGGAGCCTCTTTAAACTAAACTAGACACAAAACAAAATGGGTCCTGGAGTAAAATAAGAGCAGACAGTGAGGTAGGGGCAGGTCTCCCCTAGCAGACCTGCAAAGATCAGACAGTCCGGGCTGTGGTAGGTAGTAAGGTAGTAGGTAGCCTGCACATCTACACATGTACATTTATTTCACAGTAACTGAAATTACTGTACAGTACGGGCATGCATCTACACATGCACACCCATACTGTGCAGTGACTTATGCCGACTTGACATACTGTGCAGTGACTTATGGTGACTTATGCTGACTTGAGCATAAATTTTATACCCGCATCATGCAGGTATCAAATTTACTCCCGATTAGTTACTGCACAGTAACGCACATGTAGATGTCATACTGTGCAGCAACACTGTGTGTGTGGACTGACTTGGGACCAATTTTAGTTAGCCAGCCTATTCCCGTTTACTGTGCAGTAACTTACATGTAGAAATGCCTAGTAAGTGTAAAACTGAACTAGAAATAGATCCAAAACCCCTGGTGCCATTGTTGAACTCCAAACCCTTGCATGATCTTCTAACCAGAATTCTGAGATTTTGACTGTGTACAATGCAATCTGCTTTCAAATGGAACCTATATATCTCATATAACAGTCAAATAACTTTTGAGAAAGATTTTAAAGTATGCATTAACCATTTTCTGAAAGCAATGCCAACATCTGCCACTCACCTCCACCAAATTAGAAACAAGCAACAAAAAGATGACCCTTGTCAAAAGCCAGTTCACCTCTGCCCAAACAGGTGGGACCACAGGAAATGACAACCCAAAGAGGTACAACTGTATTGCTAGCATTGAAATGACCTCCGCATTGAAGATGGTTTGCTCTTTAAAGGAAGATATATTGTGATCCCTCGGGTGCTTCTGAAAGAGATGCTTTGAAAACCCCATGATGGACAGCAGATATAAATAAATGCCAGGCAAGAGCACACAATCTAGATGGTGGCTCAGCTTAACTAAGGAAATTCAAATGTTACTAGAAGGCTGTGAGAAATGTGGCAAAGAAATGTAGCAGCATTAAAAATGGGCCCACCTGAAGGAATAGGAAGGGCTGCCCTGCAGAGGGGCAGAGTGTGAAGAGACAGAGTTTGTCCCAGTAGGGATACTGTTTGCCCTGACGGCAAGTGAAGCTGTTTTGGAGGTTGCCCTTTTGGAAGTAGGAGGAGTGATGTAACCCCAACAGGGTTTGAATGAGAGACCTTAGCAAAAGCCCAGGAAGAGTCCTGGCCTGGGATTGGCTGAGAGGATTGTTTAAAAGAGGGGAGCAGTTTTTCCCCAGGGAAGAACAAAGGGGGAGGGGAGGGGAAGAGACAGGCTGTAGACCAGGGAAAGGATCTCTCCACGGCCGTCCCTCTGAGAGCCCCTGCAAGAGCCCTGCAGAAGTAGCAGCAAGAGGTTGCACAGAGAGTGCTGGACTGTGTCTGTTCTCCCTCCCTTCTACATGGAGCCCTGCCAGGGCAGGACAAGAGAGGAGCTACCTGTGAGGAGACTCAGGCTGGGAAGACCCTCCTGCAAGCCCCTGTGTGGCTGGGGACTGCAGGGGAGGAGCCACAGCCTGCTGCACTGAGACCCCTGGAGCCCCTGTGAGGAACACCAGCCCCAGGGACCACCCACAGATCCTGTGCCAGGGATACAGACGCAATCCTACAAGTTACAGACAGTGTAAATAAGTTCTTGATAGTTTATTAGTTGGAGTATCAATGTATTTATTTATGGGTTCCTTATTTATCGTGGGAAATTTGTATACCTTACCCTAGTGTAATGTGTATCTAAGAAGCATTAACCCTTAAGCCACCATCACCAGGTCATGCAGTATAACATTTGTTCTACTGCATTGGTTATAAGTGAATTTATAAATAATTAAATCCTGTAAATAGTTTTATAACAGTCTGCAAGGTTGTTTGATTGTAAGGGGAGGCTCTCCACTCGGGGACCCTGCAGCAGCTACCCAGGGAGCTGGGCTACTGGCTACCGGGTACCCCAGGATCCCACTATTCAGGTGAGGGTGCAGGTAGTGTCATGCCCAGGGTTACAGGAAAAAAACTGTTCCCAGAGCTGTTATTTTCTACAGAGATACCAGACAGACTTCACAGCATTGAGCAACAGACTTATTTTTTCTGGAAAGGACATATGTTATTATAGTTGATTATTTTTTTCCAGATATATTAACTTCACGTTAGTTCCATAGACATCATTGGCACAGGTTCCCCCAAAACTGAAGTCAGTATTTGCAAAGCACAGAGTTCCTCAAGTTCTCTTATCAGATAGTGGACCTCAGTTTACCTCTTATTTATTCCTAAAGTTTGGAGAACACTTTGATTATCAGCACTATAGCACCAATCCTTTTTGAGATCCACATTTGAATCCGTATTCAAAATATGGCAAACACTCCTAGATCTACTTAGTGGAGACTCCAGAAGCCTCTCCAGAGAAAGAGAGTTCATCTCTAAAATTTTTCACTTCAGCAAAAAGAGACTCACACGCTGACGCATCATGGCAGAAAATGAAAATGGATCCCCTCCTCAGGGCAGTCTGCATGAAAGCTCAGTTAAAGCGGGAAACTCTACAGAAGTTATAACATGGTAAGGAAGACTGAGCAGACCTTCTCAGAGGCTTGACCTTTAGACATTTCTGGTTATAGGTGTATATATTGGTATGTTGGTATAGCAGTGTAAACAATCTTAGGAGTTATAGTTTACTGTTAATAATATATAATGAGATGTAATTTAATTTTAGTGTTTCTGAAGAAAGGGACACATGGAGTGATCATAGAGTCCTGGTTCTCTGCACCCACCAGAAAGTACCAGAGTGCTGTACTAGGGGTCAATAGTAAAGGTTTGACAACCAGAGAGGCATGGGGGGTGGTATGGACCTGGCAAGATGTGGGCAGTGAGGTCCCCCAAGGCTCGGTCCTCGGGCCGGTGCTGTTCAGTATCTTCATCAGTGACCTGGATGAGGGCATAGAAACCACTCTGTCCAAATTCACAGATAACACAAAACTATGGGGTGAAGTAAACACACTGATGGGAAGAAACCAAATCCAGGGGGACCTGGACAGGTTAGAGAAGTGGACATAGAATAAGAGGGTGCAGTTCAACAAGGACCAGTGCAAGGTGCTACACCTAGGGAGAGGGAATCACCAGCACACCTATAGGCTGGGGGATGACCTTCTCAGCAGCATAGCAGTGGAAAGAGACCTCAGACTCGTTGTCAACTCCAAGATGAATATGAGTCGTCAATATGATGAAGCAATTAGCAGAGCTAACTGCACATTGTCATGCATTAGTAGGTGCATCACGAACAGGTCCAGGGAGGTGATGTTTCCCCTCTATGTGGCACTGGTCAGGCTGCAGCTGGAGTACTGCGTTCAATTCTGGGCACAGCAATTGAAGAGGGATGTGGACAACCTTGAGAGGTCCAGAGGAGGGCCATTCATATGGTTAGAAGCCTGCAGGGAAGGCCCAATGAGGAAAGGCTGAGGGACCTGGACCTTTTCAGGCTTTGCAAGAGAAGGCTGAGGGAGGATCTTATGGTAGTATACAAATTCACTGGGGGGGCAGCAAGGAATAGGAGATGCGCTGTTTACCAGGGCACCCCTTGGAATAACCAGGAACAACAGCCACAAACTGAGAGAGAGTAGATTTAGGCTGGACATCAGAAAGAACTTTCTCATGGTTAGGGTTGCCAGAATCCGGAATGGGTTTCCAAGGGAGGTGGTGCTCTCCTTTCCTCATTTAACTGGTGTAAAAAAATAAAACGAAAATAGGTACAGACGAAGTGAGGAGTGTGGCACTCAGTACATCTGCAGGTGGAGCTTGGGGAACCCCAGCAGCGGGAGGTTCACCTTCAAGAACACCAGCTGCTCCACCAAGCCAGGATCCAAGCAGGTGCAGTGGGGTGTCACAGTATCCCCAGCAATGCTGAACACCCTCTTGCTCAGAACACTGGTTGGTGGACAGGACAGGTGTTCCCAAGCAACTGTGGCCAGATCCTGCCACATCTAGCTACAGCTTGCTCAGTAGAGTCCCAGGGGTCGCAGTCCAGTGACTCCATGTCCTTGGCGAGATAGGTAGCCACCAAAGCCTCAGTGCTACCTGCCAGGGGCTGGGGTCTGGTGCGTTTGGACCCCAGCATTGAAGCCATGCCCATGGCCCACATTGGCAGTGGCTGGCATGGAGGAGACTGACTGGTGCTGGTGCTGGTGCTGGGAATGCTGAGATAGGAAAGTGGATCCCCCTCTTCCACATCCCCTTGCCTCTGCCTTTCTGCCTCACTGACTCTGTTGACCAGCACCTGCGTCCAGTGCTTGAGGGTTTTTGTGCTGCCAGTGCACATGCTCCCCTTCAAAATCAGGTTGCAGATGCCTGCCAGCATTTGGACCATACTGGACTGCAACAGATCCAGCCATCTCCTGATGCCCTCCTTCTGCCACCTCACCAGTGCCTGCACGTCT